CGCTGGCACATGTGGTTGCCCGGCATGCAGGGTATTGCGTGGTTGAGATGAATGCAAGGTGAGTGGAGGAGACCCGTGTCAGGGGCTTCTGTGAGACCGAGCCTAGGGTGCGGCTCTAAAACCCTGGCTGGTGGGTGGGGCTGGGGTCTTGGATGTGTATGCTGAGCTGGGTGGTAGCTAAATCCAGTGGGAGCCTCATAGCGTCCTGCTGGGAGGCTGGCTGCTACCCATCACTCACTCGTCTGGGCTTTGCTGTTCCAGTGATGACCGCAGTCCCGAGGCCTTCCGTACACGCATTGAAGCGGCTACGCAAATGGAGTCCGTGCTGGGTGCGGGTGGGAGGCCCAACTGCCTGGTTATTGACGAAATCGATGGGGCTCCCACGGTAGGCCTCCCTGCTGCTGGGGTGGGTAGGAAGGCAGGTTGGGTGCCCTGGGGGCTTCGGCTCACCGACCTCTTCCGTGTCTCCCTGAAGGCCGCCATCAATGTTCTATTGAGTATCTTGAATCGCAAGGGTCCACAGGAGGCAGAGCAAGGGGGCACAGCTGTCCCTGCGGGGGGTCGGCGACGCAGGGCCGAGGGGGGCCTCCTAACAAGGCCCATCATCTGCATCTGCAATGACCAGTGAGTACAGTGGGGGACTGGGCCTTCCTGGGCAGAGGGTCCCCTGGCTTGACCCCCGTGCCTGTCCCTGGTGTGGCGACGGCTAGGTCCTGTCCTACAGGTTTACACCTTCCTTGAGGCAGCTGAAGCAGCAGGCTTTCCTGCTCCACGTTCCGCCAACTCTGCCCTCCAGGCTGGTGCAGCGGCTCCAGGAGGTCAGCAGGGCAGGGAGGAAGCCGGCGTCCAGTGGGAGGTGCAGCCTCTCTCCTGACCTCCCTTCCCACGTCCCTTCCCCCTGAGCTCCCTGGTGTTCTCGCATTGGCTGTGGCGTTGACTGTCATGGTAGTCCAGGCCTGTTGCAGGGACTGAACTGCACTCTCTGGCCGCCCCAGCACAGGACTGTTTACCTGTGTCCAGGCAACCGGGTTGTGGCCACAGGGTTGGCTCCGAGGATGTGCTAGACTGGGTGTGGGTCCTCTCTCGGCAGTGGTAGACACTCTGGTGCTCGCCCCGCCTCTAGATCTCCCTGCAGCATGGCATGCGGTCTGACCCGGGTGCACTAGCTGCCCTCTGTGAGAAGACTGAAAACGACATCCGTGCCTGTATCAATACCCTCCAGGTGGGTGCACGGCTCGGCCAGGGCAGGGTGGGGTGAGGTGGCCGCTGCTCACTCCACCCTCTGTCCAGTTTCTGTATGGGAGGGGCCGGCGGGAGCTGAGCGTGAGGGATGTGCAGACCACCCACGTTGGCCTGAAGGACCAGCGCAAGGGGCTGTTCTCCGTGTGGCAAGAGGTCTTCCAGTTGCCCAGGGCTCAAAGGTAGGTAGTCCAGGAGGTATGAATGGGCCAGCCTTGTTCTGGATGCTCCTGGTGCCTAGAGCCAAGACACAGCCTGATAGTGCCAGGGCTCCAGGGTAGCTGTTTGGTCTCATTTGTGTCCTGTGGGTAGGGACCTGACTTGGGTTGGGGGCCCAGTTAATTTCCCAAGGGGAGTTGCCTCGAGCCCCCTAAATCTGTGGCCCCAGAGGGTGACCTTCCCCGACCTTCCTTTAGTCGGTCAGAGCAGAGTCTTTTGCTTCAAGATGGCTCTGCATAGAGATTCTTGTTCCTTCAGAGTGATGTAAGACAGGCCAGCCAAGGCTTCACTCTGAACATAGGGGATGTGGCTAGGATGGCTGGTGGCATCTCTGCCTTCAGCTGGGTGTGGCCCCAGCCTCAGCACCCTCTACCTGCAGGCGACTCGTGGGCCAGGACCTGATCCAGGCGACTCAAGCTCTCCTGCTCGGTGATGGGGACAAGGGCTCCCTGACCCTGGCCTCCCAGCGCTTCTACCATATCCTCCGTGTGACGACCTCTGCGGGCGAGCATGAGAAGGTTGTCCAGGTACCGTGCTCACCCCAGCTCTTAGGAGTCTGGTACTAACAGAAGGTGCCTTGGGGCTGTTCCAAAGTGAGGGGTGTGGGTGGATAGGTGTCGGGCATCCAAGGGGATGGGAGGATTAAGGACAGGGGCCACAAGGAAGGACCCTCAGACCCAGGAGGTAACTGCAGGGATAAATTTGGAGGTGACAGGAGGCAGAGAGCTTAGGCATCTAAGGGTAAATTTTGGTCTGGTGGCTGGGAACCATTTAGGGATCCCTGTGAGGTACATGTTGGGGTCTGGGGCTTAGAGACCCTAAATTCCAGATGGAGGCTGCCCGTGGTGTGGAAAGCAGGCAGGGAGGGCTTTGGACTTGAGCAGATGACAGCCTCCATCACTCCCCAGAGGCCTGGCTTAAGCTGCTTTCAATTCTAAGCAGCTTTGGCTTAGCAGTTGGGAAGCCGCCGACAATCTGGAAATCTGCGGTTTGGAGGGGCTATGTGGTGTGGCCAGTGGGAACTGGACTCCCACGGGCCAAGCGGGGGCTGCTGTGCCCTGGCTTCCGAGGACATAGCTTTCTGCCACTTCAGGGAGGGGCTGGGGACTGGACCGTGCGAGCCTCTAGAGGCAGGTGGGTGGGCCATCCCCTCCTCCTTGTCTCAGAGTCTTTCTTAGACAAGTAGATCCTTCCCTGGATAGGCAGCTGATCCCTACACCTTGGACTTGACAGAGCAGGAGCTAGAGAAAGGATCCTGAGGCTGATACGCCGTGGGGAGATGAGGGGTCAGAGGCTCCCGGCCTTACCCGCTCCTGCAGGGGTTCATGGCCTGCTCCCTACCCTTAGGGCCTGTTTGACAACTTCCTACGCCTCCGGCTTCGGGACTCCAGCCTGGGCACCGTGTGCTGTGCCCTCGACTGGCTGGCCTTTGATGACCTGCTGGAGCAGGCTGCCCACCATGGCCAGAGCTTCCAGCTGCTCCGCTACCTGCCCTTCCTGCCTGCCGCCTTCCACGTGCTCTTTGCCTCCAGCCATGTGCCTCGCATCACCTTCCCCTGCAGCCAGCAGGAGGTGTGTCCTCATTGGCTGCCTTCGTGCTTAGGGTCGGGCCCTGGGGGGAGGGGGCTCTACTCCCCCCTGGCCCGAGCTAACTTTCCGAGCTAACTTTCCGTCCTAGGCCCAGACCCGGATGAGCCAGACGAAGAACCACATCCAGACCTTGGTGTCAGGCATGGCACCAGCCACCCGGAGCAGGGCCACACCTCAGGCGCTTGTTCTGGATACCCTCTGCCTGCTCCTGGATGTCCTGGCACCCAAGCTGCGCCCCGTGAGTGTCAGATTTGGAGGAAAGGATGGAGTCAGTGGCTGAGGTGGCTCCTGGTTTCGCTCAGTTGCCCTTTCTGTGCCCGCTTGCCCCTAGGTGAGCACACAGCTGTACAGTGCCCGTGAGAAGCAGCAGTTGTCCAGCCTTGTGGGTACCATGCTTGCCTACAGTCTCACCTACCACCAGGAGCGCACGCCTGATGGGCAGTACTTCTACAGGCTGGAGCCGTGAGTGCCCTTGTGCCCGGGGCAGGGGGACCACCTGGGGACTGGCCACGGGGGTGCCAAAGCCAGTGTGGTCTTGGTGAGGCGTCCAAGGGGTTGTTGGTTGCAGGTTAGGTTTGGCACAACTGTGGCTGGCACTGTGCCCCCCACCCCAGGTCAGACACAGTTCTGAGATCCAAATTTCAATGTAGGGTTCATATGACCTCAGTCCATCCAAAGGTGGATAGTCTTCTATGTCTTTGTGTCTGCTGCTCCTCAGGGCTTCAGAGGGCTAGAGTGGCCTGAGGCACAGCAGCAGTGACCCTGGCATCCTGCAGTTCCAGTGAGGCCCCCAGTGTTCCCGCTTGGTCTTCCTTCCTCCCTGCAGCACTCTGCATGTTCTATGCCATCCCACTTACAGTTAGGGGAAACTGAGGTTTAAAGTAATTAGTCTGCGGCCACCATTGGGTTAGGATGTAGGAGTGTCAGGATCTCCCCTACACCCAAGGTCTCGAACTTGGTTTGTGGGGTTGGTGTAACAGGCAGACCCTGGCACTGCTGACTGGTACCCTGATAATCTGGCCTCACCCACCCGGGCAGGAATGTGGAAGAGGTCTGCCGCTTCCCTGAGCTGCCTGCACGCAAGCCCCTCACCTACCAGGCTAAGCAGCTTATTGCCCGGGAGATTGAAATGGAGAAGATGCGGCGGGCAGAGGCTTTGGCCTGGGCTGGAGGCGGCCCTCAGGTAGGCTTGCCCCCTGGGGCTGAGATGGCATATCCTATCAGGGGTTTGGCCCTGACCAGCCAGCGCTCATCACTCTTCCCTTCAGGTGGACGAGGGTCCCTCGGGGCCTGCATGTCTGCAGATGGACCGTGGAGAGAAAGGGGTGAGGCCACCTGCCCCACGTAACCACGAGCAGCGTCTAGAACACATCATGAAGAAGGCAGTCCTGCAGGAGCAGGTGGGGGGGGTAAGGCTGGGGCAAAATGGTGACTGGGGGTAGGGCTTTCTCCAAGTCCCAAGGACCCACCTGTTGCTCCCAGAGAGTGGCCAGTGGGTTAGGAGAGGTTCTCCTAGATGTGGGCCTCGCCCTGAGGCATTGGAGTCTGCTCTCCCACGGGAAGGGCCTGGGTGTGCCCACTTGCCCACCCACCAGTCTGATGGCCCCTCTTCTCCGATAGCCCGAGAGGGACTTCTTTGGACGTGCGGTCATCAGGAGAGTGGCGGTCCCAAGCAGAGGTGTGTATGGATCACAGAAGGAAGTGGGGTGGGGTGGGGACATTGGCTGGGATCTGTCTGCTGAGGTACAACCCCTCCGGTCCCTGCAGAGGCCGAGGCCCCGGAGAAGGACACAGACGAGTGGCGCATGGGTGTGGCAGTGGGCAGGAGTGAGGTGTGGTTCCGGTTCAACGAAGGTGTCTCCAACGCTGTGCGGCGCAGCCTGTACATCAGGGACCTGCTGTAGCCCCACTGCCCCCAGGACATCAGGTCACACTGACTCCCACAGGGAATGTACAGAAGCCAAGACACCTGGAGACGTCTATTTATAAAGTCACACCTTACACAGAGTGTGGGTCGGGCTCATAGGATGGTACACTTGGCCTTCTCTACCCAAGGGTTGTTCTTCATCAGGTCAGGGTTCAGGAAGGGGTCCTTGGGGATCCCATCCTCGATCCACTTGAGAAGCCTGTGAGCGGGGAGTTTCAGTGAATGTCGGTCATTCCCACGGCACCTGCCCACTGGGGTGGGAGGCCCTGGCTGACGCCAGGGACAGTGGCAGGGCAGGCAAAGGACACACATCCACACAGGGCACTCACTCGGGGATCGTCTTGGAGGACATCTCCCTCTTGAAGGCCAGCTGGTACTTGAGGCTCTCCACCTCCTTCTTCATCTGGGGCACATCCCACTCCTCCATAGCGTCGGGGGCGTCGGAGGTAGCCAGCCTGAGGCTGGTGGGCAAGAGAAGCAAAGGGGCTTGGTCTGCAACCCCACCCCCAGCCCCAGGGCAGAGGAGATTGCACCTGCCCCCGGGGACTGCTGCCCATCGGACAGTACCACCCACTGGCCCTTCCTGAGGTCTGCAGCGATGATGTCGGGGAACCAGGCCTGGACAGTGCCACAGGGACCTACTAACGAGGCCCCTGGGCCTTCCCTACCCAGTGGAGCTGATTAGCTGTAGAGCAGACTTTCCGTTCTTGGCAGGGCAAATGAGCCTGACAAGGCCCAGCCCTGGATTTGTAGGACAGCCTCCTCATCCCTGCCTAGGGAGACAGCAAGATGGACTCCTGGGTATCCAGAGCAGCCCCCCACCTCCATCCTCATTCTGGTCCCACTTCTAACTCAGACCCTGAGTAGGGTGTAAGAGTGGGATGGGGGCCCTGAGAGGCTGGATGCTGCCTGGCCCTCCTGGGTGCCTGTTTTGCATGGGTAAAGAGGCCAAGTTAATCTCGGGGCTGGGAGGATTTGGCTGCAATTTGCATGTAGGGTGGAGTATGTGCAGAAGGTCTGGGGATACAGGCCCCTCAGTAAGCCCAGGACTTGGGAGGTGGGTAGCCTCTTGAGACCACTGTTTCCAGACAGACAGCAGTCACCGACCTGACTGGGGAGAACTGTCAGTTTGGGCACAAAAACGGGCCTCCCTGTACTCCTCCCTATCTCGGCGCATTCCAGAAGACCAAGTCCCTGGTTCTCCCTCCAATCACAGCTTCCTCGACCTTGAGAGGGGTCTGGCACCTTGTGCCTGGCAAAGCCTCTATCCCGGGATACTGCAGCTGAGCCGGCCTTGGGGAGAGTCTAGGACCTGGTGATGGTGCAGCCTCTAGAGTTGCCCATCATAAAGGGGTCCTGGGAGGGCTCGCAAGGAATGGGCGAGAGGTTGGAGGGGTTAGTACCTCCGGGTGTACGCGGCCGCCTGCAGAGTACCTTTCCCAGAGACCCCCAAGTTACAGTGCCCCACCCTGCCAGGTTCTCCCGCGCCACACAAGCCGACAGCCACGTGGGCGGAGGACCAGCTGCGGGTCCTCCACGAATGGGAGCACCTGGGCTGGGGGCATGGCCCACCACTGGCCCTACCTGCGCTGCTGCCGCCGCCGGAGCCCGGCCGCCGGTGCACCCCGAGACGCCCCCGGCCAGGCGCACGGCGGCGCACACGGGCACTGCGGGCGGCGCGCACGGCGCAGGACAGACGCGCCCCCGCCGCGCAGCGATCGCTCCTGCGCCGCTGGACTCGATCTGTCGGCCGCCCCGCCCCTGAGGCCCGGAGGCAGTTGCCCTAGTCCCCAGGAGTTAGGATTAGACCGGGGGCGTCCACCCAGTCAAACCCTGAAGCCCTGGGGTCTGTTCCCACCCCCACTGTGAGGGTTCTGTTCATTGGACTTACTTTTGAAGAAGGAGACAGCCAAAGCAGAGATGACAAGGGCCGAGGGATGTGTGGAGTGAGGCTGGGCTGTCCGAGCCAGGGGAGCCCAGGCAGGCGCCCCGCCCACTCTTGCCACCTGGGGCCTTGGCACCGCCTTCACAGGGCTGGGCTGACCCCCAAGAGCTCCCTGGGCTGCTCTCACAGCCTCTGCAGGCCTCCCCTGGGGTGGGACATGCAGCGGTCGATCCAGTCTTTCCTTGGTCAGATAGGACTGCTGGCTGCCCCCTTGGCTAGGTTCTTGGACTGACTTGTGACGCTGGGACCACGGCCCTAGTGGACAAAATATACCCCACCCATTGAGGCGTCTCTGGTCGGGACCCTCATGTGCTACCAGCCAGCTGGAAGAGGGGGAGGGACAGAACACTTAGGCCTTTGCAGCCCACTGGGTGCTGGTGACCTTCAGTGTTGTCCACGTATGGTAGTCTAGGAAACGTCCTGCAGAATCCCAGGATATGAGCCTCTCCTGGCAGGGGCTCAGGAGTCCATAGCCCGGCTACCTTCTTGGTACCGTCCCCCATTCCCACGTAATGACTTCAAAACAGCTACCCTTTAATCTGCTCAGGACTGGACATGGGTGGCCCTCCACACTGCAAAGACTGATGCTTTGGGAGGTGGGTAGGCGAGTTTCTTAGCTGATGCTGGATGGCCTTTGGGACCCCTGAGGAGGAAGGGTACTTCCTTAGCCAGAGGACTGAGCCCTGTACTGGCCCATCAGCCAGTTACCTACTCCTCAGAGACTGTAATATCGCTGCAGTAGGCTAGTCCGGCCTTCAACTTCTCAGGGCAGCTCAGCTCCTCCCTTCCCAGCTCCCTTCCCAGGGTCACTCTTGTCATAGTTACACTTTACAAGCTCATGGGGGAGCTCTACCCTGGGGAGCTTCCTGTGACGAATGTTGCAGGCTGCAACCTGGACAGGGGGCCCCAGGCAGCAACAAGAGCCTCTGGAGGAGGGGCAGAGGAGGTTGGCGCTCCGGAAAGACAAGCCTGCCCTGCCAAGTACTCTGGGTCCTCTGTGGGCTGGAGGTCTATTGAATGGCTATTCTGTCCTTCCCTGGACAACAAGACAGGTCAGGGTTAGAGGAACTGAAACAAAGTTCAGGAGCCCCCACTGCTCAGCCTGCCCAGGAGATGGCCTGGAACCTTGCAACTATGATCTAAGGACAGAGAAGGTCCCTGTCCCTCGGACTCCCCAGGACCATCAGTCATGCGGCAGGTTTTCCTCGTGTCATCAGTGAAATGGGGTAACCATGCTTCCCTGGCCCCTGACGGGCATCAACATGTGGCATCTCTGGAACTGGGGCACGCTAGGGAGCAGATTATTTATTATGGATTTTAGGGGTGGGGAGCTTAAGGCTAATGGTACCAGGTCTCAGGCAGATGGCAGCTCTTCCTGGCAGGGTGGAGGGCAGTCCTATTTCCTGGGACCTGTGTGTATCCTCCCTCTCCAGGCCTTTTGTGTGCTCCTGTAACTGGGTGAGCACCCTAACACTTAGGCTACTGTGGGTGTCCCCTTGTGGCAGGAGAGAGTCTCGGAGAGCCACCAGAGAGCACAGTGACACTAGGGAGAAAGTAGGGGGCTAGCCACTCTGGGGACTGCAGACAAGGTCACCTCCAGAAGGCTCCATGGTGCCTACATTCACTGGGATGAGGTAATGTTTCTGACTGGGCTCCAGTGGGACAATCTGAACCCTCGGGTGAGTCCCAGGTCTTGGGGGAGTTCCTGTTGCTGAGGACAGTAGGCAATGGGCCCAACCTGCCTTAGTGTCTCCTAACCCAGCTCTAGGGCTCTGGACTCTGGCTTTATGCAATTTATTGGACTCGGGAAAGTTAGCTAGGGAACGATTGAGGTAAGGAAGTGAGTCCTGGAGGAACTACGGGTCCTAGAGGTAGTCAGGTCTTGGACCTGGATTGGAAGGCCTCAGGATACCATCTGTTAGCCAGGTGTGGTGGGTCCAAGCACAGGGGAGGAGGAGGCAGGAGGATCTCTGTGAGTTCTAGGCCAGCCTGCTCTACAGAATGAGTTCCAGGTCAGCTAATGTCACATAGTGAGACTCGGTCTCAAAAACAACCAAAACCCACCATAAAAAAACAAAAAAAAAAAAAAAAACAAACAAACAGAAAAAACAAAGGGGCTGGAGAGATGGTTCAGAGGTTAAGAGCATTGACTACTCTTCTGGAGGTCTTGAGTTCAAATCCCAGCAATCACACGGCGGCTCACAACCATCTATAATGAGATCTCACACCCTCTTCTGGCCTGCAGGCAAACATAGACAGAACACTGTATACATAATAAATAAGTAAATCTTTAGAAACAAACAAAAAGCCAGACACCATCTGTTCTGAACCCGAGTCCCTGTCTGGACTACAACAGGGACCTTCTGATTTCTTAGTTCCCACCCTCCTGCCCAAGCCGGACTTGAAGCTTCCTGAATGTCCTGCCCAGCTCTCTAAAGCAGGAAGCAGCCTGGAGGGGTCTTGATGCTAGGCCACAGCAGTGACATGCTGTGAAAGTTTTGTGAAAGATGCTGGGTGCCGTGGCACATAGCTTTACTCCCAGTACTTGGGTGGCAAGAGGATCTCTCAGTTTGAGGGCATCGTAGTCTAGATAGTGAGTTCCTGGCCAGCCAGGGCTCTGTAGTGAAACTCTGACTCAAAAGAAAAACAAAACCAAACACCCACACCCACACACAAAAAAAAAAGTTTGGTGGAAGGAGGACTTTCGAGAAAGAATGTGGTGTCCTCCTGCTAACCAACAAGTGTGAGCAGCTATCCCTTGGGCTCTTTATGAAATTAGGGCATTAACTGGGCCGTTGGGCGAGCACACACAGGGTTCCTTCCACTGGCCTAGAAATGGCCTCCCCAGGCTAGAACGCTCCTAACAGGAGCTGAGAGAGCTAATAGGCCTCTTCGTCCTGGCCCAGCCAAATCTGGAGGCCATTGTGATGATGACTCTGGGGTAGCTAGGGCTGAGCCAATTGCTTTATGCTTAAGTCCCTGGTGGTGGTTGTGATGGTGAATAACCCGGACAGAGAAGCATTTCAGAAGCTCCATGCAGAGGACAGCCCCTAACCCCACCTGGTTGATTCTCTCAGAAATAAAAGTACAAAGGTCAGGGCTTGCCCAAGCCAAGGGGGAAGAACTCAGGTTGGCCATCCTCCATCCACGGAGAAGGCTGAGCATGTGACGTGTGACCCTGCAGGCCATCAGGATCTGTGAAGCCCCTTTATGGGGGACATGGTAACAGAAGCTGAGCCAGAGCCAGGCCTTCCAGTGTCCCTGGAACGTTGTCCCATCCCTGCAGGCCACAGAAGCCAACACAGGGACTGGGGAAATGCTGCTTCATGTTATACAGCTCTTAACAGACTAGACGGCTTCTTATAGCATCTTAGAAAGCATAGAAGTGGGTTTCAAAAGTAATCCAGACAGCTACAAGGAGCACTGTCATGTTGAGGAGATGGCCCAGTGATTAAAACTCTCACCTTGTGTGAGGATGGGGGTTTGGATCCCCAGTTCCCACATAAATGCCAGGTGGGTGTAGTAGCTGTTGGGTAATTCCAGCACTCATAAGGTAGAGACAAAGTGTGTGGTGGTTTGAATAAGAATGGCCCTCATAGACTCATATATTTGCATGCTTGGTCTCCAGTTGATGAACTGTTTGGAAAGGATTGGGAGGTGTGGCTTTGGAGGAGGTATGTCAGAGACTGGGCTTTGAGGTTTCAAAAGCCCACTCCCGGGCCAGTCTCTCTCTCTCTCTCTCTCTCTCTCTCTCTCTCTCTCTCTGCTGTCTTTGGATCAGCTACTCCTCCAGCACCATGCCTGTCTGCTTCCTGCCATGATGATTGTGGACAAACCCTCTGAAACTATAAGCAAACCCCTGCTTAAAAGCTTTCTCAGTCATGATGTCTCCTCACAGCGATAGAACAGTAACTAAAACAGAGGATTCCTGCAGCAGGCTTGCTAGCCAGGCTGGTTGGACTGGTGAACTCTGGGTTCAGCTGAGAGACCCTGCCTCGATGAACTCTTGGAGAGCCTTTGAGGAGACTCCCAATGTCAACCTTGGGTCTCCATAAAAATATGCACACACATGCGTGCATGCGTGCGTGCGTGCGTGTGTGTGTGTGTGTGTGTGTACACATGTGCATGCACACCACACATACAGACACACAATAGGGAAAGGAATGTAATGTTATTCCAAGGAAGACACATCTGGGCAGCTCTTGTCCAATTCCACCCCTGGAGACAGCTAACAGTAGCTTAGGGACACAGACTCCACGCCCCTGTCTTGGGAAGCATACCTCTTAACTGGGCTGACTGAAGTCTTGGACACCATAGTAATTATGGTGAACTGAGGCTCCTGCTTCAGAGAAAGGCCTGCTGAAGACATGGGTGTCTCTGTGCTAACAATTCTGCAAGTTGTGCATGGCGGTGCCTATGTGCAGCCTGGCACTTGGGAGGCTGAGGCAGGATCACTTGATGTTTAAGGCTAACATAAGCTACACTGTCAGACCCTATGGGTGGGGAGAGAGGGAGAGGGGGAGAGGGGGAGAGGGGGAGAGGGGGAGAGAGAGAGATTCTACCTAATAGGGGGGCAGGAGTAGGCATTGGGAGGCTGCAAGGACAAGACCCACACCTAGTGGTGGTACCATATGCATCTCTCTGACACTGTGGTTCCTGCCCAAGGACTGGGGTCACTATCCCCAGAAGAGCAGCAACTGCGACTCCATATGATTGCTCTTTGTGGAGCCAGGCAGCAGGTTCTGTCAGGGCACTGGTCCCCAAACCTCACACCAAGGGGAATGGCA